TGTTTATCTTTTTCGCTGCCACAACAAACTTGAGTCCTGCAGGTGTTGCCTTCTACGGCGTCATGGCGACTGGTATGGAGTTTGTCGTGGTGGTATCTCGCTCCATCGCGACCCATTTGTACCTGAAAGACTCACACAACGGGCTGCTGAAAGAAGTCAACCGATACCATGTCAAGTATGTGCTACCCCAGATTGTCACTGCCTGCCTTCCTGCAGTAGCCACATACCGACACTATATTTACGACATGGAAGCGTTTGTGCCAGTGCTGCTACTCACCATTTTCATCTACATCTACGAGCTCACGTACCGCGGAAATCCTCAACAAACAGGCTGTCGCGAACGTGCTAGCTGGGTTACCGGTCGCAGCTTCCTTGTTGATACAGTCAAGAGATATTTCAGTGGAACTATTATTCGCATGGCACCACTTGACCCCGAGAAGCAGTATGTACTGAGCTTCCACCCGCATGATGTTAATAATGGTTGGTTAATTAGATATACACATGCAAATGGAGCTTCTTTTTTTTTTATTGTAGTATACATACATATTTTTAGAGGTTTATATTATGGTTCTTATATAACACCGAGAGAAGCTATATGGTGCTCAGGTGTAATTATTTTTATTTTAATGATGGCTACTGCTTTTATGGGTTATGTTTTACCTTGGGGACAAATGAGTTTTTGGGGTGCAACTGTTATTACTAATTTATTTTCTGCAATCCCTTTAATAGGTAAAGATATTGTTGATTGGTTGTGGGGAGGTTTTGCTGTTGATAATCCAACATTAAATCGTTTTTTTAGTTTACATTTTACTCTTCCTTTTATAATAGTAGGTGCTGTATTAGTTCACTTAATTTTATTACATGAAGTTGGTTCTAATAATCCATTAGGTATTAGGTAAGGTCCGGCAGGAATGCCAGCTCCTTCGCGTAGTCTTCCAAGCCAATGTTGTTAGCTGGGTGTTCGTAGAAGTCATTTCTCGTATCCTCCGTTGCTTCATTTCCTTCGGTCGTTAACACTCGAGCAACCGAGATGTACGTTCCGTCCAAAGTTGCTACAGATTCTTCCTTTGACTCAACACCGGTATTCGCTTTGATTTCAACAGTCGGTACTGGGTCCATCTCCTTCCCATCCTGGTTTCCCATCTCTAGGCCATCGGCCGAGTCGTCGCTCGCAATATTGAATGCGCGGGCCGCCGACATATTGAGTTGCTGACTTTTGTTCAGCTCCTCGTTCTGCCGCTGTCTTGACAGTTCGGCATTCGCACCAATCTTGCAATGAATACTCGGTGCCGTACTCAACACCTTCAACGCGATGCCTGCATCCTCTGGATCAACCACCGATGTCTCGTTCGCAGATTTGGTGACACACAAGACCGGGACAGCTTCGTCAAAACAGGTGACTCCATTTAATCCAGTGCTGTTACTTGTCGCTTCCGTGGTCACCCCTGACTGGACACAAACACTCGTTGGCGTATGTACAACGTTTACCGGCCTCAGTAGTTCGTATGTACGCGCTACCGAGGCTTCGTTTGCAATATTGCCTCCGCCATGCCTTGTCGTGTACGTGTCTCAAGGTTCTAGCCCTCAGCTTCTCTGCTCGCTTCAGTTCATCCCGCTTCTGAGCAGTGAATGACTGGATAACGGGGGGATTCTCCTGCCCCATTTCTACATCGCCGTCGTCTCCGGCTGTGGGTGCATTCGAACTTGCGAAGCTGGCATCAGAGGAGGACTCGCTCGGTGAGGAGCCCACCATTTCGTCGGCCTTGGGAGCACCGGCAGCATCAAGCGCGGCGGACATGTCGTTCATGTCGGACAGTGCCGGGTTGAGTTCTTCATCGGAGTCGAACTCGTAGTCGGAGTCACCGGTGTAGTCGATACGCTCGACGTAGCCGAGAAGGTTCTTTCCTTCGAGGGCGGCAGTGACGCGGGTCTTCCAGATGATGAAGTTCCGGCCATTGAGGCGCGGAAAACTCGCGGTCGTCAGCGGTGGAGGCTTGCGTTGGGCTCATAACCTATTGAAGGTGAGGCGAGGAAGGTGGAGGAGCTTGAGTAGAAGGAAGAAAAAAGAGATGTGATTGAATTTTATGAGTCTGTCTTCAGAGAGTTTCCTGGCACCATTGATTTATCTTTCCTGTAAAAGGTGATGTATCGACTTATGCAGGATTCGCCAGCTTGCCGAAAAACAGGATTGCTCTTGCGTTCGCTAGTAATACATCTATAGTCGTAGACACCAGTTGAAGACACACCATGGCGTAGCCGGATGATGGAAATGAGGGGCACTTGCTCTCAATGGCCTCACGACATAGGTCGTATCCGCACTCGAAAAGTATTTCAACGACAATTGTACCTACACGTTGCGAACGATGAGTACCATGGTCGCGTACGACTTTGGCGTCGACATCAGTACGTCCACAATATTTGACAAACTGATCGGTAAGCTGTACACGATGAGCCGCTTGTCTTCGAGCACTTGCACATTCGAAACATCCCGTGAAAACGCGGAGTCTGGTATTAAACTCCAAAGACACAATTACACTAGCAGGAATAGTTCCAGGGAATTGTTCCTCGATTGTAGCCCGCACATCTGTCGTGTAGTCTTGGTGTGGCTCTTGACCAGGTCCGCCAGGTCGAGAATGCATATAGGAAAAGTCGCAAGATGCACACCTTTCATCGCGGACCAATGCGTCCTCTTGAATAGCTTTGGCAAAAATCTGCAGTGTAAACGTCATACGCACCACACGCGACTGACTCCGGAAGGGGTCATCACAAGTGCCGCCAGCTTGCCGAAAAACAGGATTGCTCTTGCGTTAGCTAGTAATACATCTATAGTCGTAGACACCAGTTGAAGACACACCATGGCGTAGCCGGATGATGGAAATCAGGGGCACATGCTGTCAATGGCCTCACGCCATAGGTCGTATCCGCACTCGAAGAGTATTTCAACGACAATTGTACCTACCCGTTGCGAACGATGAGGAACATGGTCGCGTACGGCTTTGGCGTCGACATCAGTACGTCCACAATATTTGACAAGCTGATCGGTAAGCTGTACACGATGAACCGCTTGTCTTCGAGCACTTGCACATTCGAAACATCCCGTGAAAACGCGGAGTCTGGTATTAAACCCCAAAGACACAATTACACTAGCAGGAATAGTTCCAGGGAATTGTTCCTCTATTGTAGCCCGCACATCTGTCGTGTAGTCTTGGTGTGGCTCTTGACCAGCTCCGCCAGGTCGAGAATGCATATAAGAAAAGTCGCAAGATGCACACCTTTCATCGCGGACCAATGCGTCCTCTTGAATAGCTTTGGCAACAATCTGCAGTGTAAACGTCATACGCACCACATGCGACTGACTCCGGAAGGGGTCATCACAAGTGCCGCCAGCTTGCCGAAAAACAGGATTGCTCTTGCGTTAGCTAGTAATACATCTATAGTCGTAGACACCAGTTGAAGACACACCATGGCGTAGCCGGATGATGGAAATCAGGGGCAATTGCTGTCAATGGCCTCACGACATAGGTCGTATCCGCACTCGAAAAGTATTTCAACGACAATTGTACCTAAACGCTGCGAGCGATGAGGAACATGATCATGTACGACTTTGGCGTCGACATCAGTACGTCCACAATATTTGACAAGCTGATCGGTAAGCTGTACACGATGAGCCGCTTGTCTTCGAGCACTTGCACATTC